CACTGAAAAAAAAGAAATGTTGTCGCAACTAACAATTAGTTACTCCAACTAATTTTTTTAGTAGCTATAGCCTCAACAAAATTATTTGCTGTAGGAAATCAACAACTTGTTGGAAGTAAATTTGTTCCAGTAGCTAAAACAATTACTTGTGACAAATTATACAAGTTAGTTAAGAAAGCATACCATTTTTGTTTGAGGAACTAAATAAGCTTGCAAAAAATTTGTCCCTGTAACAAATAATGCTTAGTCGCAGCAGCATAGCGGTATTGTTATATAAACTAACGAGTATTTGCTGGACCTCCTAATTTGTCCTTTTTTATCTTTGTTGTAGTAGCATACCATTTATGCTGGAAACTCATAAATTGTCTCAAATGATTAGTGTTGGATTAACTATGAATCCTGGTTGGAACAATAAATTTTCCGCTCTGTCTGCATCGTCCACGCGTTTTGGTGATGTCAATTAAAACAAATCACTTTTTTTTTTAAATACACATTTATTAAATCACTTACTGTTTACCTAACTACAAAAGAAAAACTTTTTATCATTAACATCTCCAAAGACAAAATATAAAACACTTAAATTAAAACCGAGATTAAAACTTACCTACACTACATGTAAACAGCTTTTACATATACAGCGTGTTTCGAAATTCGCGCACACGGACTATGGGATGGTGTTATACAAAGAAAACTGAATAAAAAGTTCCTCGACCAGTTTCTGATCAGACCGGCACTTTTTGAGTTGTTGTTCGAAAAATCTAAAAATGAAAATGCCGGAAAACAAAAGATAGTTCAAAACAATTTATGGATTAAAGTTACACTTACCTTCAAACACCAAAAGTAGTTCCGGGAATCCCCATTGTTCCAATATATCACCTACACTTTGTTCAGCCATTGAAAAAACATTAAAATACTAAAAGTTCGTAATGTAAATAACCGAAATTCAGTAGGTACAAGATTGGCGACTTACCATGAAAAAATGAGCTAGTAATTATGACACTGGACAGGGTCACAGAGTACTTTGTAATGATGTCCTCTCACATCTGGCTGGCACTCTGGGACATGCAAGGCAAGGTGAGATAAACATATCCTGTCAACTACTTGGGAATTGCATGATTGCAGTATTATAAATAAAATTTTATATTATTTTCGTCCTTCAAGTTAAGGAATTTAGTATGTTGTCACAAATACAGTGGTATTAGGTTAATCAGCAAACTGCTTTTTGTTATGAAGGCATACTTTTATGTTCATGGAATCAATGCAAAATGCTCGTTGGCGCTCTTAACAAAAAATGTTTGCTATCCTCCAACAAAGTTTCATTATTAACCCCAAGAAATCGCAACTACTTGGGAAAACTAAAGCAGTAAATTATTTAGTTCTAAAAACCATTTCTTTTTGCTGCTGCAACAATATGCATGTAGCAATTCTAAATTTGTTACCACAAGGAAGTCATTTTTTTCAGTGTATATACGAGTACATTTATATAAACTGGCATTGAATGAGAATGTTCTTAATTCCTGTATGAATGTCATTTTCGTGCATATAGTTGGTATACGTGAATCAGATTTTATATTAGATATCCCTTCTCACACGGACACATGATACATCTTGCTCTGCGAATTTTCTCTATAGGTACCTAATACTGATGGTATAAGCATATCTCGATGTATGTATATGTATTGGTAATGTGTCCTACCTAACCTATATATAGGTAGGTATCAAAATGTATTTAAATCGTAAGAGTAGGTACATATAGGTACATGTAGGTATAAGCATTTAATTCAATAGTATAGGTAAGTAAAGGGTTATTGACAATGAAGTTATCCATTTTTCTCAAAATGAGGTTGGAAAATGTTGGAGTTGTGACAACAATTTTCTCAAAACCATTCCGCACCACGTTTTTAAAAAATTGCATTTAGAATTGCTCTACTATATAAGGGCACTCAATTTTTCGATTTTTATATTTCAGGAGCATCCAATGAATCCGTTTTAATTTTAAATTACATTTGGAGGGCTTAGAGAAATAAATACCTCTAGGTCTTAGGTAATACCTAAGTATTGGAATTATTCCCATTTATAAAATTTACCTTTTCTAGGGACATACCATACCATAGGTACATAATTCGGAAGGAAAGTATGGGCTCTTTTTATTAATAGGTATTATGTAAGTTTCGGATTCTGATGGGTTTAAACCTGGTACTATGGCATTAAATAGCCCTCAGCGAATAATTGCATGCAATTAGTGTAACACGAGGTGTAACACGCTCTCCGTTTATGTAACAAAGTCTACAATACCATCCTTATATTTCCTATAAACCAAGTTTAAGTTTAATCTATAGGTACCTATCTATAATAGGTACCTATAGGTGGATACCTATCACCGTAAGCATTGGGTATAACAACCGTTTCATATCCAAATTATCTATAACATCTACTGCACAAGCTGGAATGCAGTCAACGTTAGTAACTTATTCAATTAAGTCAATCTTTGTCAAAAGGACCTTGATTATTATACATGTCTCTTATAAAAGATGCCAATAAATACCACCCGAACGACCTTTCATATAGCCACATTTCATTCTTAACCGCAAAACGAATACTTCACTGACGTCCCTCCGTCGATTGTTGATTGTCCTACCGAAAACTGTCCGAGATTTAAGACCGCATGTTAAAAATAAATTTGTTCAGGTAAAAAAGATGGCTGTTTTTATTTCAGATCCTTACCAATTACTGAACGCTGCTTCGAGTCGATTGGTCGCACAGGGCTCCGGACAGATCCAACTGTGGCAATTCCTCCTAGAACTGCTCGGCGATTCGGCGAATTCGGCTTGTATAACGTGGGAAGGCACCAATGGTGAATTTAAACTGACTGATCCTGATGAAGTAGCGCGAAGATGGGGAGAAAGGAAATCTAAACCGAATATGAATTACGATAAACTTAGTAGAGCACTTAGGTAATTACGTAATTAGTTTTTATAATCCTATATAACACAAAAATAGCCGAGTATTATTTTACTCTTTATTTTCACTCTGATGTCCTTATATAAACGTATATCCTATTTAATCCTTACTTTTTACCCAATCGTTTTGCATATAGGTGCGTATTTTTCATGGTTCTTTAGTTACTTTTTCTGGTTTAATGAAGGTTTGGCTCAATTTTTATATACGCTTCTTTGTATTACGTTTTTCATAATGTATGGATTTTGTTATAATATTCTCAAAAAGTAGCTACCTATGCCCTGGATTGCGCATATAATTTTTATAAATTCAATGAAAAGTAGGTACCTATACCTATATGTATACTTACCTACCTATTAAACTAACATTTAATCCCCTACTAAAATCAGTTTCAGGAAAATTTATTTTATCTCATACCGTTGTTTAAATACATTATTTAAACAATGTTCATACTGTTAGACGGGGTGGGCTCTCAAAAAAAAATTAATTTTAATTTTAATTTAATGGAAAGAGTGAGACATCAGTATAGGCACCTAATACTTATACCTACCTATAATCTTCCTTTAAATGATGCAAGTATAGGTAATGGAAATCAAAGGTACCTATATAGGTATAGGTAGGGTACAGCTGGGTCAAGCTGGGGAATGATGAAATGTGTAAGGCTGAAAGAAGTCCATTTTATTGTTCTTTTCGATCGAAATTTGACGTGTATGACGTGGAAGAACAGACGGCGGTAGTCTCCGCCGAACTGAACTTCGCCTTGTAGAAGTATATTTTTATTTCTGTTTTGTTTTTGGGGATAAATAAAGGCAATATTATTATTATGGTCGGTGTTTCTTGTGAGAACTCAGGTCTAGCCTGGTTAACTAATCGCACAGATTAAAATCAAGTACCTAACGATTAGTGTCTGTGTCTGGTGAAGTTATGTAGGGTTCTAAAAAAAAATAATAAATAAAAAATAAAATAAATATTCACACACTCACATTGGAAATCTAGGGATAGTATGTAATTCATACTTACCAACATAGCTATTAATGGCCACAATAGTCAACGCTATCAGAAAAGAAGAAAACAAAGCAAAAATATCATTATAATTCCTGTAATTTTATTAATAAGAGTTTATTGTGTAAGTGTTTCTTTGGCTTTGGCGTTGGGTTGAATACGAGTGGGTTGTGATAACGTGGTGTGTTTCTGTGAAGAAGGAGTTTTGTGTTTTTTAACTGTGCTAGGACGTGTAACTTTATTCGGTTATTACTATTTTTTGAATTTCCGGAAAGTAATTTATTATATGAGGCAAATTTTAGTGGGAGCGTCTGTAGATTTTCATTATGATACCTACCTATTGTTTTAACGGTGAAAAAGAGAGTCACCTGTGCGTATCTATAAAGCAGGGTGCCATTGGTTTCAACAGGATGGTGCACGCGCACACATTGCCCTAAATCGTGCGAGAATACCTATCGCGGACATATTTTCCATTTTCCATGATGCTATTGCCAATGTTGCCGTACAATTTCAGAGGGGAGATTTTTTAGCGTATACGAGTATTTCAGAGGGGTAATGTTCCAGGTACGAATTTCCTTCACAGAGTGCATTTTCCCACAGAAGTGAGAAGAGAAATCGAGTACGTTATAGGTAAAGGAATCGCGAGCTTTCTGATTAAATATTCTCCGGAGAGTGGAAAATTTTCCCTGCGGATCCAATTTACCTGGAAGCGAATTTCCCCGAATTCAATTCCAAACGGATTCACCAGCACGAATTTAAATTTTGCCAGAAGCGACCTTTCGTGAACGTGAATTTCATTGAGGCAAATTTCTGGTGCGTATTCCGCCGGCGACAAACTTATACGCACGGGTTTTTTAATGTCGATACTTTGGCTTTTGCTCGAGATAGATTTTCCCTAGGTGAATTTTACAAGCGCATATGATGGAAGTACATGACTAAGTACATTTTCTTTTTGAATTCATACATTCTGTGGGGCCTAGTAACCTGGGAGCAAATCTACCCAGGGGTGAATTGCCGGAGGCGAATTTACTGAGGTCCTGGGTCAAATTTTCTATAATTTTGACCATTATGTGCATCTAAATCTACCTATAGGTATACACTTAACTGTGCGTGATTGATTTCCATCACTATACATTCATGCGTAATTTTCATATAATTTTTACCTAGGGTGACTTCATGAATTATAGGTATAAATGAGTTTGTTTTTTCCAGATATTACTACGACAAGAACATCATGTCGAAAGTCCACGGAAAACGATACGCCTACAAATTCGATTTTCACGGCCTGATGGCAGCCTGCCAAGCACAAGCCCAAGGTCAGGGAGAGATGGTAACGGGCTACCACAAGTATCAACCGCACCAAAGCGAGCTCGGCGCAGCTTTATATCCGGCGGGACCCGGGGGCACACCAAAAATTCCCAGTATACTACCACCCACAACCCAGCACTCCCAAACGGGATTATTTCCACCCCCTGCCTACTGGCCATACTCGCCCACCTCTTTCGATCCACGAGGACCACCATTTAACTAAATTTGTTTCCTTTCCCAAGATATATTTAGTTTTACCTACCTCATCAATTTGTGAAGCCGATTGTGGCGAGAAAATGTAAATGTTGTTTAAACTAGCGATTAAGTTTTGTATATGTAGGTAATTTTAATAGTTCCTTGTACGATGTAAATGGCAACTTTACATTAAAGTAGTATGTACCTATACCTATTTACTACGATGATGTGTTGGTTTTAGGTATTTTTAATGTTATATATGTTTGTTAAAGGCGAGTTTTTTTTGTAATTATCTAACAAATTATCCATTCATGTTCTTGTTAATAAAAAATATTTAATTTTATGCGTTTATTATACCTACATGTCGGAAGACTAAAAAACGTAGTGTCTACAAGGAGAGATGGAAACTCGAGGACCTTAGCCCACAAAAGCTACCCATATGCATGCTTTAAAATCAGCTAATTTAGTTATACTATCCATCGTATAAGTATATATAAGCTATCAAATAGAGGAACCCTAAGTCGATGGAGGCTGAGCTGTATAGCATCCACGATTGGAAGACAGGGGGAATGATTGATACCATAAATTAAAACAGTACCTATATGCATTGGAAAATGTCTACCAATGCCCTTCATTTCATGCTGGAAGGCGTTATTTTGGCCACTTTCTCCGTCCGTCCGTACCTACAGTATTTAGTTCGTTTTTTTTTGCATTCGGCATCAAGCCAAATCTTGACAATGAATGTGCGCATGCGCATGTTAATTTATGGAGATATTTTTTTTGAAAGTTTTACCAAAGATTCTTTTAGTAAACACAAGCATATAGTATAATGTTAAAATCAGGTTAGGGCATGCGCAGACTGCACAGTTTCTTATTTATGAGAATATTTATGCCATATCTTACTTTCCTTTATTGTACACATAAATAGTTCGTTACGTAACCTTTAGGGAAGTACTGATTAATTCATGGAAAATGTGCTAAAAACACTCGTAAAAACATTTGTTCCACTTCCACTTCAATTTTGTTGGGAGTAATCTTAAAGGTTAGTTGCTTTTATTATACCTACGTAAACGTAGTGAGCATCAGGTAAAATTTTGGGGGTGGGATGGTTATTGGGCTGGGATTGCAGAAATATTAGGATTGATAGAACCAAAAAAATTTATGGGAATACACTTCATTTTTCTGGAAATATTCTTGAAAACCCTCCATAAACCGTAAATGGGAAGGGCAAGTCGAATTTAGAGGATGCGGTACCTACCTACCTATATTGTTATAGATTTTACGAAATATGTTGGTTGATTGTAAAGTACACATGTCAAACCTTTAAATAACTCTCTCTATACAGGAAGCCAATAGTGCTGAAAGTTACCCATTTTTCATAATGAAATATGAGATGAATGGATTCGAATAGTTTAATGTGTAGAATGTGAAATCATTTTCCTCGCTTTTTCTAAGAGTGCTACGTGAATGTTGTATACCTTGGCGGTATATATATCTCACCCTTTCAGAGGGGCAGAAAGTGCTTGTAAATTTTTCTTGGAGATAGTAGGAGTACATGCGAATTGATCTGTAGATGTTAGAATGTGAAACATTTTTTCTAAGGATGCTATATAATCTTTTTACAACTTGGGGGTAGATTTCACCCTATCAGACGGGATGTAAGTGATGCTCAATTTTTCTGGAGATACTAGGGGTACATGCGAATTGATATGTATATGTTAGAATGTGAAACCTTTTTTCTAAGGGTGCTACATGAATTTTGTGGTAGAATTCACCCTTTCAGAAGGGCAGTAAGTGATTGTCAGGGGTACACGCGAATTGATCTATCATCTATGGAGTTTAGAACTCGGTTTAGAATGTGAAACCTTTTTTTCTAACGCTGATGCTATATGAATTATTTTTTTAAGAAACAAATTAAAGAAGAAATCCAAATTTCACAATTTCTTTGGGGGTGGCAACGGAACACGTTGGACTCGCGGTTTATTTGGAAAAAGTGCTTGTCCTGATCCCCTCTATCACCCAATTTTTTTTTACATGCGGTCATGTAACATCCTGTATATGTGAATGCGACTTATACCTACCCGAACTTATGCCAAATGTTGTGTAGTTAATATTAAATGTGCACAAATCCTCCCTTAAGTAGTGGTAATAAAAGTTATAAGCGTACGTAGTTTACTGTGGTAATTATATTAAAAATTCGAAAAAGGAATCCAATGTTTTAAATAGGTATATCCTTATCTTTATCGAACGTCGCAACTTGAATTAACATTTTGTCATTTATAAATCATTTGAACGTACGTATTGTATTTGCCTGCACCTGAGCGGCTTATGCGATAAGCCAACCGATTCTGCGCAAGTTAGTGCCTTATGGAATATGTTGCAGTCTGCGTCGTGTATTTTTGCTCTAGTAGTTTTCCTGGTCTATCACCATCCCCAAAGGTAAGGGTACATTTTTTCTTTAAAAATATCTCAATTGAACCAAAAACTATTCATAAAGGCATAAATGTCGTCATAAATCCAACCTAACGTATGATATCAAGTAGGTACGCGAAAAACTACGTTTAAATTATTTAGATATGCCTAGATTTCGTAATTTTTAGGATGCAAAACCGCCCTAAGCGTTAATTTTTCTAGTTAATGCCAAAAAAAGATTTGCGAAAATTTTCATTCACGCAGTCCAAAACTTTACACCCGTTTTTACGAATATTTCATAAGAACGCGTGTCTTATCGGTTCATTAAAAGAAACACCTGTTTATAAAATAGTTATCGCAGTCGGGGGAAGCTTTAATAAAAAAATCGTTAAATACGTCAAATTTAATTTTTAGGGGTACCCATTTCAACGTAAAAATCAACCCCTTGTCAACCATCTCCATAGCAACCCAGATGTACAGTTCGACTTCGAGTTTGGAATTGAAAAAAAGAGAATTGTATTTCTTCCTGACATGGCTTATCGTTGGAATATCAAAATGTTACAGGGTTGGATACAGATTTGAAAGACCTTTCCAATAAGGTGTCATTCGACTATTATTTTCATTTAATATTTTTGACATTAGGGTAGTTTTGGGTAGGGAATGCGTGACAAGAGGTTGATTTTTACGTTGACAAGTATCTCCCTTGATACTTGATACTTGGAAAACAAAAATTGACGTATTTCACGATTTTGTTAGTCTCAATATCAACTGAGTTATTCAGGGTGGCTCATTTAAACTGGGCTGCATCCCTTATATTAAAAAATCAGGAAGATTTGTTTGCATAGCTACATTATTACGCAAATAATTTTCGTCGTTCATAAGGTAAAGGCAATGGGAAATCTAAATTCGGGTTGTTCGTTCTTAATTGTGCACATATCAACCCTTAAGTGAAAAGTTCTAATTCACTTTCTTTAACAAAACCCCCATCAAAGTTATTTAGGTACGTTTTAATTTTTTAAATTCTTTTTCAAATCCCGTCGCTTTTACTTTATGTATGAACTTATACCAAATATTGTAGTTAATAAGTGTGCACCCTGGTGTGCACAAATCATCCCTTAAGTAATAAAATTTATAATCATAGGTAGCTTACAGTGCAGGTAATTAATAATAATATTAAATATTCGAAAAAGGAATCCAATATTTTAAATAGGTATATCCTTATCTTTATCGAACGTCGCAACTTGAATTAACATTTGGTCATTTATAAATCATTTGAACGTATTGTATTTGCCTGCACCTGAGCGGTGATGCGATAAGCCAACCGATTCTGCGCAAGTTAGTGCCTTATGGAATAAGTTGCAGTGCGCGTCGTGTATTTTTGCTCTAATAGTTTTCCTGGTCTAAACCGCCCCCAAAAATCAGGGTAAGTTTTTTCTTTAACAATTACCTAACTTGAACCAAAAACTGTTCGTGGAGTCATTAATTGTCGCCATAAATCCAACCTAACGCATTATAAGCCAGCCAAAAGCTATACGTTTAAATTATTTAGATATGCATAGATTTCGTAATTTTTAGGATGCAAAACCGCCCTAAGCGTTAATTTTTCTAGCTAACGCCAAAAAAAGATTATTGGGAAAATGTTCATTCGCGCAGTTCAAAACTTTACATCTGTTTTTACGAATACCTTATAAGAACACGTGCTTTATCGGTTCATTAAAAGAAACACCTGTTTATAAATAATTATCGCAGTCGGGTGAATCATTCTCTACCATCTTCGGCTTTCTTCATTGATAGAGAACCAAAATTTTTCAATATCACCAGTAAATCATGACGTCATATTTTCAACACTAGGTAAACGTATAGAGGACCTGATTTTTTTACTGGTTGGTTCAAATGTTGTAAAATTAAATCTACCTACAAATATCAGCTCCTGAACAACGCTCATTAAATGCATTTTACATTCATATAGGACGGTATAAATGTATAAAGGTAAATCATGATGCTGATACCAGTGCTATTGTGCCAAGGGTCCACCAACGGATGGTGCAGTATAAGTTCCCGAAATAGGGAGCTTTGGAGCATTGTAAATTTTTTCTACTGATCCCGTAATAATTTAGTAGTCCAGTCAAATTAGCCCCAAAAGTATAGTCTATACTGGATGCTGCTACTTCACTCAACGAGACCAAGTGTATTTTATGTAAAAAAAATTCACTGAATTCGAAACTCATAGTCCCCCTGGCCGGAAACTCCCGGAACACTTATTGTTATAAACAAAAACGAAGAAAAAATTGGAAAATCTCGTTTTTTTCGTATTTGACTTCAATTATCCCATTAACTATTGGGAGGGTAGTTTTAGGAAGGGAATGCGTGACAAGAGGTTGATTTTTACGTTGAGATGTGTCGCCCTTGATAATTGGAAAACCAAAATTGACGTATTTCACGATTTTGTTAGTCTCAATATCAACTGAGTTATTCAGGGTGGCTCATTTAAACTGGGCTACATCCCTTATATTAAAAAATCCGGAAGATTTGTTTGCATATCTTCATTATTACGCAAATAATTTTCGTCGTTCATAAGGTAAAGGCAATGGGAAATCTAAATTCGGGTTGTTCGTTCTTAATTGTGCACATATCAACCCTTAAGTGAAGAGTTCTAATTCACTTTCTTTAACAAAACCCCCATCAAAGTTATTTAGGTACCCTTTAATTTTTTTAAATTCTTTTTCAAATCCCGTCGTTTTTATCTTATATATGGACTTATACCAAATATTGTGGTTAACAAGTGTGCACAAATCATCCCTTAAGTAGTGGTAATAAAATTTATAAGCATACGTAGTTTACGGTGGTAATTATATTAAATATTCGAAAAAGGAATCCAATATTTTAAATACGTTAATCCTTATCTTTATCGAACGTCGCAACTTGAATTAACATTTGGTCATTTATAAATTATTTGAACGTATTGTATTTGCCTGCACCTGAGCGGTGATGCGATAAGCCGACCGATTCTGCGCAAGTTAGTGCCTTATGGAATAGGTTGCAGTGCGCGTTGTGTATTTTTGCTCTAATAGTTTTCCTGATCTAAACCGCCCCCAAAAATAATGGTAAGTTTTTCTTTAACAATTACCTAAGTTGAAACAGAAACTCTTAGTAGAGTCTTAAATTGTCGCCATAAATCCAACCTAACGCATTATAAGTAAACCAAAAGCTATTCGTTTAAATTATTTATGATATGCATACATTTCGTATAATTTTTAGGATGCAAAACCGCCCTAAGTGTTAATTTTTCTAGTTAACGCCAAAAAAGATTTGCGAAAATTTTGATTCACGCAGTCAAAAACCTCGTCCAGAACTTTACATCTGTTTTTACGAATACCTTATAAGAACACGTGTTTTATCGGTTCATTAAAAAACACCTGTTTATGAATAATTATCGCAGTCGAGTTAATCATTCTCTACAGTCTTCGGCTCTCTACATTGATAGTGAACTCAAATATTTCAAAAAACCAGTAAAACATAACGCCATATTTCCAACACTATAGGTAAACGTATATAATGGGGACCTGAATTTTTTACTGTTTGATCCAAATGCGTTGTAGAATTAAATCTGCAAATATCAGCTCCCATTAAATGTATTCCACACTTGCATTAGGACGGTGTAAAACATTAGTCACTCTTCTTAGCTAAACGCACCGCGAAGGGGAGTTTAGGAGCCACCCCAAAAAAAGTGGTGAAATTTGCTTTTCTGCTTTAATTTTTTTTCAGTAACCATAAGAGTTACTAAGACTGGTGGCACATTTTTGAATAGGTTTTTGGGTATGCCCTTTCGGATTTTCGCAAAACAATTCTCAAAATTCCTATATCATGAACGGGCGCACCCCTATATGAGGGTCCGAAACAAATTATGATTTAGAAGAAATTTAGTATCTGGGGGTTTTTGAACATGAAAATCACGAATCGGAAATTACACTTCTTGGACGGATAACGAAAATGGAGAGAATTCCACTAAATTTGTTATGAACATATACTTGATGAGATAAGGAACAAAATCGAAAATCGATTTTAATAAGCACCCTGGTAAGTGTACTAATCGACACATCGAATTTTTTAATATTAATTAATGATAAAATTAATTGCAAGTACTTTATCGACGTAAATCGTTAATTTTTTGTTATTTGCGACATTTTCAGCTAACTAGGTACATTCGAGATTACATTACTCACTGGTAGGCGAGGGACACTTTATGGCCCAAAAGACCTATTTTCAAATGAGTGTAACTTCTGTTTGAAAAGTGATTTGAAAAAACTATTCGACAATTTTATTTCTTAACCCATCGCGTATGTACACAACAAATTTCGTGGAATTCTAATTAGCACCAAATTATAAGTCGATTTTGGCGTTTGAAATATTAACGGAATTAAATTAGCACTTAATTATGACAGGGGTTTGAACAAAATACTTGTTGGTGGTACGCTAACTTAATGGACATAAAACCGAGCATAAAACTTAATGGGGACGAGCAAGACAATTAAGGGATGGTTAGGTAACGATGGGCGAAATATTCCTATTGATAATTAATCTACACCCATCATCCCTTAAAGAACGCTAATATAAAATTCCTTCATTTAGACTCAATTTCATTAATACCGATTATCCACTAAAAAAGATTTCGAAACCCTACTTGCCTTGCGTACAGAATCGGCTAAAAATTATATTTAAATATTGCACTTAATTCTAATTTTACAAATATCAACCACTAAAAAAACGCCAGTTGAGTGGTAGCACGCATAATTACGCTTTTTTTTGGTAAATAATTTCTTTTCTTAGATGAATGCACTTCCATTTAAAAAAACTGAGTTTTTAGTCTTTGAAGTTTCATAAATTTGGATCTCCATACGGTCGTACGCAACGTAATTTTTTTTAAGTACACTAAAAGAAAGCCCTATTCATTCTTTTCCAGAGAAAAAGAAAAATCGTGACGTAACTGTACTTCAAGCTCTCACTCGACAAGTTAATTTATTTGAAAATTTTTCTCTTTTCAGGTATTGGTGTTATCGCGTATGTCTCTTCATGCCAGTGTACCGATGCGAAAGTGAACTAGTGCGGTTGTGTAGTGCTTCGTTCATCCGTGGATGATGGTTCTTCCTAGGCGTGACCGAATTCATAAGGCTAAAGGGTATGTACCTATTGGTATTTTAAAGTAGGTTAATGATTTTAAATGCAAAATAAAAAAAGAATCCACTAACAGCAAACTAAAAAGGGGCTGCAAGGTCCCTTCTACTTGTCGTTTGACTTTAATTACAAAATACTAGATTAATTTTAAGTACCTACACATAATTTGGCAGTGTTGGTTACTCATTTAACGTAAATCTTTCCTTTGTTTCAGATTCCAGAAGGGCAGCCTTATAAAGGTAGGATTTTTCCTTTTCGTGCATGGGTGGCGGCATTTTATTTTTTTTGTATTTAGCAGGGGGGAGTGAATAGTGCATATAGTGATAAAAAGAAGATCAACAAATTTTTTTGGCTGGCCTTTGCTCTGTAATTGTAAGTGAGTTGTGACTTTCTACTAAACTTATCGTCTTGGTAACTTCAAATTGACTTCAACGGTTCTTTGAATAGCTTCTTCTCGCGACGACTATCTGTTGACTTTATGCTAAAGACTGCAAATATGAATTCATAGCTTTGCCGGTTTTATGAGGTAAACGGATAGTTGCTGTGAAGAAAAGGCCTAAAAGAAGTGTTGCAGCCTCTTTCGTTTACCATGTGAGTAGCATCGCAGATTGTCGTACCTCATTTATTATTACGCAAAGATCAGCTTAATGGTAAGGTTATGTGTTCGTTTGTTAATTAGCTACGTTATCGAAACTGTCTAATTTGTAAGTACTAAATGATGAGTGATAAAGTAGTTAAAAAACGAACACATTGAGAAGAAATACATTGGTTGTCCTCTTAAACTCATAGGTTGTTTTTTGTTTCTCTGACGTAGCGCTGGATCCTGTCGTTCCCTACTGGCGAAGATTACCAGTTCGTAGTGGACATCTGATTCCAGTCTACCCCCGTCTCTGTTGCACATATATGACCTCGGTTTAAGCGAATAAGGTGAGTACGCCACTGTCATACATAAATATTTTGAATCATGAAATTTTTAGTGCAATTTATTTGAAGTAGTAGTAATGATTTTGAAAAAAAAACCAGCGCGTGAATCGCAAAATCTTAACCGTCCTGTTTGGATTAATTTCTTTGTTAATTATAATGTTTTTCATTACAGGAAAGAAAAATGACAGGAATAGTATCCTCTTCAGACCTGCCAACTCAACGTTTAGGACCTTGTGTGTCGTGTCGCAGTGAATTCCGAGTGCTCCAGGGCCCTTGCTTCCCTTGTCCACTATACCAAATTCAATGGTAAGTTGACTCATCTTAGATGTCACAAACTTAGAAATAGATGTTAAATGCACCCCGTTGAACCTACCCCCCCCCACCCCATTGTGAATCAAGTTAACAATGGTATCCAATTTATGAGCCATTTAGGAGCTTTTCATATATCACAAGCTTAAAATTTTAGAGCTCGCTTAAATCCCTAGGAATCGAACATTTCTTACGGGGTGGTCGAGTCTACTTGGATTCGGCCCCCCCCCCCACTGATCAGAATTACTTTTTTCAAATTAAATTTTGTACTGGAATTACGAGCCATTTAAGAGCTTTCATTTACAAGTAATTTCGATTTTTGGGCGCCACTTTTAAAATAGCTAATTTATATAATCGATGGGGCGGCCAGTTCCACTTGGGCGTAGCACCCTTCTTTGTTTTCGTTTACTTATTTCAAATTAATTTTTATGCATGAATTACGAGCTATTTAGGAGCTTTCATTTACAAATAATTTCAATTTTTTGGGCGCCACTTTTAAAAGAGCAAATTAATATAATCGATGGGGCGGCCAGTTCCACTTGGACGTAGCCCCTCCTTTGTTATCGTTTACTTATTTCAGATTAATTTTTATGCATGAATTACGAGCTATTTAGGAGCTTTCATTTGCAAATAATTTCAATTTTTTGGGCGCCACTTTTAAAAGAGCAAATTAATATAATCGATGGGGCGGCCAGTTCCACTTGGACGTAGCCCCTCCTTTGTTATCGTTTACTTATTTCAGATTAATTTTTATGCATGAATTACGAGCTATTTAGGAGCTTTCATTTACAAGTAATTTCGATTTTTGAGCGCCACTTTTAAAAGAGCAAATTAATATAATCGATGGGGCGGCCAGTTCCACTTGGGCGTAGCCCCTCCTTTGTTATCGTTTACTTAAATTAAATGTTTTTAATCATGAAATTTTGAGTGTAATTAATTTGAAGTACCTAGTAGTTATTTCTAATGTGTGTTTGTTGTTTGTGTTCTAATGATTTTGAAAAAAAAACTAGCGCATGAATCTCAAAATCTCAACCGTCCTGTTTGGATTAATTTCTTTGTTAATTATAATGTTTTTCATTACAGGAAAGAAAAATGACAGGAATAGAATCCTCTTCAGACCTGCCAACTCAACGTTTAGGACATTGTGTGTCGTGTTGCAGTGAATTCCGAGTGCTCCAGGGCCCTTGCTTCCCTTGTCCACTATACCAAATTCAATGGTAAGTTGATTCACCTTGACCTCACACTCTTAGAAATAGATGTTAAATGCACCCCGCTGAACCTAGCCCCCCCCCCCCTCCATTGTGAATCAATTTAACAATGGTATCCAATTTATGAACTATTTAGGAGCTTTTCATATCGAAATTTTAGGGCTCGCTTAAATCCCAAGGAATCGAACATTTCTTATGGGGTGGCCGAGTCTACTTGGATTCGCCCCCCCCCCCATCAGAATTACTTTTTTCAAATTAAATTTTGTACTGGAATTACGAGCTATTTAAGAGCTTTCGTTTACAAGTAATTTCGATTTTTGGGCGCCACTTTTAAAAGAACTAATTTATATAATCGATGGGACGGACAGTTCCACTTGGGCGTAGCACCCTCCTTTGTTTTCGTTTAATTATTTCAAATTAATTTTTATGCATGAATTACGAGCTATTCAGGAGCTTTCATTTACAAATAATTTCGATTTTTTGGGCGCCACTTTTAAAAGAGCAAATTAATATAATCGATGGGGCGGCCAGTTCCACTTGGCCGTAGCCCCTCCTTTGTTATCGTTTACTTATTTCAGATTAATTTTTATACATGAATTACGAGCTATTTAGGAGCTTTCATTTACAAGTAATTTCGATTTTTGAGCGCCACTTTTAAAAGAGCAAATTAATATAATCGATGGGGCGGCCAGTTCCACTTGGGCGTAGCCCCTCCTTTGTTATCGTTTACTTAAATTAAATGTTTTGAATCATGAAATTGTGAGTGTAATTAATTTGAAGTACCTAGTAGTTATTTCTAATGTGTGTTTGTTGTTTGTGTTCTAATCACGATACACTTACAACGGTATGCTCTTGCGCATCTAGCGTGACGTCACGTGCGAACAAAACCACAGAATATAAGAGCAAAATTACGATGCTTAGATCGACAAATCACAAGGTTAGTTGACAAATCATACTGATTTGTGTAGAGATCCTCGCGTAAGTTATTTCTGGGATTTCGTGATCGTATGAAATAAACTCTAACCAAAAACATTGGCCCTAAACATGAAATGCGGCTGTTTCAGTAAAAATTATATAATTAATGCATTATCAAAAGATCTAATCGCTCCTCCGTGTCCCTTTTATTTTGATTTTCATTATTACGCGGTAGTTTTAAAGTAGGTAAAGCATCAGGTTTCAAACATCGACATCCGCTGTTTTTAAAAGTAGGTCTAATTAAGGAGTCGTTCCCTTGCGGTGCTTCAAAACGGCTGGCTTCAAAATGTTCATAACAAATACAGGATATAGGATTAAACAGCAATGGAAAGACTTAAACACACCACTTAATAATAATGCAACACCATTTTTCAAGGTAATTTTGTCCTTACGACGACTTGCAACAATCCATTTTAGAGAAAAGTCTTCAATTTTCGGAAATCGAAAGTACCTATTTTATTTCCACACACAACCTGGCATTTTGGAATTTTCACTAATGATTACTTAGCTATCAACAAATTAATGCTTAGCTATCAACAAATTAACGCTATAAAACTCGTAAATACAACTGAAAAGGTGCAAACTGTCACGCGTGACATCTGTACTGGATTTTTCCGTGCGTAAACATTTGAATTTTGGCGCCACACGTTCGCAGGTGACGTAATGCGCAGTAGAAAACGCGTTTGAGAAAAATAATGAGCATACCGTGTGTAAGTGTATCGTGGTTCTAATGATTTTGAAAAAAAAACTAGCGCATGAATCTCAAAATCTCAACCGTCCTGTTTGGTTTAATTTCTTTTTTAATTATAAATGTTTTTCATTATAGGAAAGAAAAATGACAGGAATAGTATCCTCTTCAGACCTGCCAACTCAACGTTTAGGACATTGTGTGTCGTGGCGCAGTGAATTCCGAGTGCTCCAGGGTCCTTGCTTCCCTTGTCCACTATACCAAATTCAATGGTAAGTTGGTAAGTTGATTCACCTTGACCTCACACTCTTAGAAATAGATGTTAAATGCACCCCGCTGAACCTAGCCCCCCCCCCCATTGTGAATCAATTTAACAATGGTATCCAATTTATAAGCTATTTAGGAGCTTTTCATATCGAAATTTTAGGGCTCGCTTAAATCCCAAGGAATCGAACATTTCTTATGGGGTGGCCGAGTCTACTTGGATTCGGCCCCCCCCCCCCAGATCAGAATTACTTTTTTCAAATTAAATTTTGTACTGAAATTACGAGCTATTTAAGAGCTTTCATGTACAAGTAATTTCGATTTTTGGGCGCCACTTTTAAAAGAGCTAATTTATATAATCGATGGGGCGGCCAGTTCCACTTGGACGTACCCCCTCCTTTGTTATCGTTTACTTATTTCAAATTAATTTTTAAACATGAATTGCGAGCTATTTGGGAGCTTTCATTTACAAGTAATATTGATTTTTGAGCGCCACTTTTAAAAGGGCTAATTAATATAATCGATGGGGCGGACAGTTCCACTTGGACGTAGCCCCTCCTTTGTTATCGTTTACTTTTTTCAAATTAATTTTTATGCATGTATTACGAGCTATTTTGGAGCTTTTATTTACAAGTAATTTCGATTTTTGAGCGCCACTTTTAAAAGAGCAAATTAATGTAATCGACGGGGCGGTAAGTTCCACTTAGACGTAGCCCCTCCTCTGTTATCGTTTACTTATTTCAAATTAATTTTTATGCATGAATTACGAGCTATTTGGGAGCTTTCATTTACAAGTAATTTCGATTTTTTGGCGCCACTTTTAAAAGAGCAAATTAATATAATCGATGGGGCGGCCAGTTCTACTTGGACGTAGCCCCTCCTTTGTTATCGTTTACTTTTTTCAAATTAATTTTTATGCATGTATTACGAGCTATTTTGGAGCTTTTATTTACAAGTAATTTCGATTTTTGAGCGCCACTTTTAAAAGAGCAAATTAATGTAATCGACGGGGCGGTAAGTTCCACTTAGACGTAGCCCCTCCTTTGTTATCGTTTACTTATTTCAAATTAATTTTTATGCATGAATTACGAGCTATTTTGGAGCTTTTATTTACAAGTAATTTCGATTTTTGAGCGCCACTTTTAAAAGAGCAAATTAATATAATCGATGGGGCGGCCAGTTCTACTTGAACGTAGTCCCTCTCCTCGATATCTCCTCTGCCGACAGCGTTCCCTCCAAGTCTTCACGAACAAAAGCAATTCGGAAACTGTAGCTGCTTCGATAATGGCTCTGGTATCCTTTACGGTCCAGTTTTTGCCTTTTTTTCGAGGTGAGGTGAGGGGGGGGGGCGCTGAATCCAAGTAGACTCGGCCGCCCCATAAGAAATGTTCGATTCCTAGGGATTTAAGCGAGCTCTAAAATTTTAAGCTTGCGATATGAAAAGCTCCTAAATAGCTCATAAATTGGATACCATTCTTAAATTGATTCACAATGGTAAGGGGGCTAGATCCAGCGGGGTGTTAAACGCCATCAATACGATAGTTGATACGCGATGTGAGGCTGAGCCATGCTCTTTAACGTTTTAGGTCGTTAATAAACGTAAAGGTTATGGGTAAGTCGAGTTTAGGGATTTTTTGATACATTTTTTTATCAAAAAATTCCTAAATTCAACACTTACTGTACCTTAAGAAATACAAATCACAGAAAACATATCAGATACTGTGATTAATATTAATCTACGCATATCAACAATTAAAATTTAAATTATAGGAAAAAGTAATTGGAATTGGCAGGTTTTTGGGTACCTTTAAATATTGTGATTGACCGCTAGATCTGAATTTATTGTTAAATAACACCTTTAAAATTCATATGTATATGCATACTCAAACGATTTTGATACCTAGATCTAATAGATAGCAATCTAAATTTGGAAAAAAAGTGTTTTTATGCAAACAAAATGGAGGTATAGTTTAAGGTGACTTGCCACAATTATTCAGATAACATGCCTTATATGATCAATATAAAAATTTAATAAGGTTATGTGTTTAAACAACAAAAGTGTCGAATTTTCTCCCCTAAAACCTTTAATTTAGAGTATTTCAAGATCTAATTTTTTCGTTTTAGTGTAGTTCATCTATCCGTTATATGTTTAATTTCAGATATTGTTAAATATGATGACTTTTTAATTACTAGTTGCTGTTGCCTCTAATGAAAGCTTTTATGGAGAAGATTTCGTGTTTTCAATTCATTAAAATAATAGATTAGTAGGTGGTTTTAGAAAAATGTCATTTATTATGTTCAAAACACTCGCGCAGGAGCGGTTTTAATTTGACAATATTTTACTTTTCAGATTTTGGTGTAATGGCGCTATGCGCGTTGAATGCTGAGGATGCCGGTCCGAATTAATAAGGCTAAGGGTATGTTTTCACTTTTTAACTAAATTTAATTAAACATCAGCTATTTCTACCACAAAATGTCTAATTCTATCAGAAAAGGTATTACACTCAATGATATCAAAGGAAAATACAAACTTTTCTCAATTCATTTAAAATATTACTATACGAGTTTATTTCGTTAAATAATTAATAGTTTTCTTTACACTGACACTAACCACACAATACTCGATTAATTTTAATTTTTAAATATAATAGTTTGACCATCTTTAATTTTTCCTCTTTTTAATTTAAATTTGTTTTTTCTTTCAGATTCCAGAAGAGCAGCCTTATAAAGGTAGGATTTTTCCTTTTTCTTGCATGTGTATTTTATTTTTATGTATCTAGCAGTGGGGGAAAGTGAATAGTGCGTATAGTGACTAAAAAGAAGAACAACATTTTTTTAGCTGATCTTGTGCTGTGGTAGTAAGTGGAAAGTCATCAGCTTTTCATCTCGGTAACATAATATTGACTGCAATCGTCCTTCTCATGGTCTCTTTAGCAGCAAACGTCAGTTCACTTCATTCTTAACCGTGCAAGTATGAATTCATAGCTTTGCAGATTAAATGAAGTAAACGAATAGTTGCTGCCAACTAGACTATGAAAAAGGATTGCAGCCAATTTCGTTTCCCAGGTGTACTGTTGTATATCATTTATTATGACACCAAGATCAGGTTAATGCGGTTTCTACGTTAAAGTGATATAATCACAATGAATTGCGGATAACGTGCGGACGGAATAAACGATACACGCTTATTTTGTTGCTAGTGACAAATACCCAGTTTAACGACGTTGCATCTGAACTACTAACTCTCATGATTTTTATTGAATTTTTCTTATTTATATTATCAGTTATTGACATTTTTTATTCCGAACTAGAACTTTATAAACCGCGAAAATGTACCTATCTACGCTCCATAGTTTTATTTGATAAAAACTAATTTGATAAATCATACCTAATTATGTTGTTAAGGCGTGTGATGGATGATGCGATGGAATGATGTTATTTTTTGAAAAAACATCCAATCACATGCTTTAACAACATTGTTAGCCTAACAACATAGTTAAGTATGCTTTATAATACGGGCCATATAGGTTTCTTTAGAAACACAAACTTCTCTAGTAAATTCTAAGCTAGGTTTTAAATTATTGGACCGGTTACTTAATCGTGTGCGGAAATAGTTACGGAGTGCGGGAGTGCTAAGTGAAACAACTAGTAATTTGGAAACTGTGTACAAAGAACGAACATTTTCGGTGTCGAACTTGTAAATACACTTTTGGCAAGTAAATAGTTAGAGGCAATGGTTATAGGGCGTACTCCTTCCAGAAGAATATCCTCATTCGCTGCGAATTTAGTTGCATCTAATACCTATGGCTATGATTTCATAGTCAAAGGTATTTATACTAGTTTTCTGCACGAACGAGTCCATACAGTCATCTAGTAGGCGTTTTACTCTCTAACTTTGGTCTGACAGCTATGCACTTGTTTTGTGGGTTGTGGTTACAGTTTGATACCAAATGGTTCTTTGGTACATAATTGAAATAGGGTAAGTATGATATATTAAATTAGTTCTAATTAAGTATATAACGTTCTATATTTACTGAGTGTTCCCCAAAAACCATATATAGAGAAACCCATCAGATAACTATTTAAAGAGGTAAACTTTTACCTCAGAGCAAGAAGTTTCTTTAGGTAGGTAATGAAGTAAGTGAGTTTGTCTAATGCAGCTGAGGCCTATTGACGTAGGGAGCGACGGACGGACGAAGAAATCTAGATATACAGTTAACGATCTTTTTGAACCAAATTTTTCTCACACTTCCTCAATTTACGTAGGGACCAACGAGCAGAAAAATTTTGCCAGCTGGGAGGCGAGCGGACCGATTGACGTACGGGACGACAATGTGGAGTGACCGACGCTAAAATGACCAGTTGAGGGGCGAACGGACCGATTGACGTGTGAATTGACGGGCGTATCACCAATTTAGGGCACCAGTTATCTTTTTGGAAATATGGTAGTATATTAAAACTGACGGTGTTTTGATAAATAAACCTGTATATTTTTTAGTTACCGGATACCTACATCATTGCTGTCTTCCATACGTACAATTTCCATGCATCATCACCAAGACGAACCGCTGCGACTTTGTAATAAAATTTGATCCATTCGGAATATATCACCAACCTGGTAAGACAATATCTCTGCTTCCTTGGTAGATACTTGCACAACCAACCACTGCTTTATTTTCCCCTTATTTTTTACACCTGTTTCTTATTGTTACATAAATAATATTTGTTTGTGGTTTTATCGTTGCCATATGAAGTGATTGATCAGGTTATGACCTATGCTATTCCTTACTGGTCTTGAAAAGGAAAAGCAACGGTTTGTTCAGTTTCTTGAAATGGTTTATACACATAGCTTATATGACACTTGATACATAAATGGCTATTTCAGTTACGGCCCGGTTACTAGATTAGAATTTATTTAATTGGCTTTAATTGGACTAGTGCGTTACCTACTTTTTAATAATACCCGTTGAATGTAATTGAGATTCTGTTCGAAACATACGTTTTGTAACATATTATGACGTGATGCAAATCAAGTTTGAAAAAGAAATTGGTTCGAATGTTTAACGAGTGGTCAAAGGGATGATATGAAAGGCTTAAAAGTCAGGCGAAATTGAGTCCCTTTCAAGATAAGTTTTACGTCTTCTGCCATTTTCTTTAATATTTCGATATACAGGTTGGTCGAGGGTTCAAAGTTTCGCTGCGGCACCTTTTCTATGTAGGTACCTACCCCTTTTTGTGAGCCTTTTTTCATGGTCGACTATTGTTTAAATAAAATATAAATTCGTGACTCACCATTGGGATCTTTACAAAATCTGGAATGAAGTAAACCACAGTTTTTAATTATAACTCTTTTATTTTTTATGATAGAAAGTTCATTTAAGAAACCATTTTGTAGGTTTTACAAGAACTACAAGAATATTTGCATCAAATCTCTTTAAAATCCTTAGTTTTTAAAAGAGCGTGAGCTTAAATGGCTCAAACAAGATAGCGCTTGCATATAATGTACACGTTTTAAACATCTATACAATGCGTTTGAGATAAGAGGGTCTCCCAATATCTTTTTTATTTACGATCTATCCGATCGCCAATTCAAACTTCAAGCATCAGTTCCGGTATAACAGGAAATCTATGCAACTTTTGTTTTTAAAATGCAATGCCTATGCATATGATTCATATACAAAAAAAATGGAGAAATTCGTGATTCAATATTTAGAAATCTAGCATACCGTGTGCTATCAGGATGCGCGGCGTCTGTTATGTTCCACGGGGAGATCGTATCACGCGAAAGTAAAACTTCCAAACGAAACATTAAGTCAGTAGGCCTTTTCTGTGTGACATGGCACACTACATGCTATATTTTTTGTAATTATTGAATCACGAATTTCTGCATTTTTTTGTATATCAACCGTATCATATTTTATGTTGTCGTACAGCAAATTGTTTGGTCTTTCAAAATATTTTAAAAAAACATAGGCATTGCATTTGAAAAATAAAAGTTGAAGCATTTTCCGGTTAAACCGAAACTGATACCAAAAGTTTCAATAAGCGATCGGAGAGATCGTAATGTCCCATATAAAATTATATTTCAAACATTTTTCGTGTCTCGCCAAGTAAAAGACATATTAAGGTGGCTCTCTTATCTGGAACGCACTGTATACTTCACTTAATTTTTGTCGTCAAGAAAATTTCTGGCGAGCAATACGTTTGAAATTAAAGAAGCAAAAAATCGGTTTTACGTTGTGCTGCTTTCGGTATTATTTTGAATAGAAGGATATTTTTCACAAAATTGTAGCTGTAGGCATTCTTTTTTCACGTTTCAAAATTAAGTACCTATTCGAATCTGCTCAAACTTATAGAACATACATAAATAAAGAAAACTGAAAAAGGGTAACGACTAATTTTAATTAGGGGGTTGTTTTGTCTCACTTTTTTGCTAAAAGAAGTAGTGATCGACCTAATTTTTACGCCAAAGGTTTTTTTTAGAAAAGAAAGGTTTTTTAAATACATTTACAAATTTTCAAGTTTTTCGCGAATAACCAATTAAAGACGTGGATATCCTTTCTATGAAAAACTGGAACCTTTTGTTCGCGAATAACTCGAAAGGTATTAATCTAATAACAAAATGTATAGAACTTTTGCTTAGAATTTATTTATTTATTCGTGTGGTCAAATTATAATAAAGCATTTTCATACCCGAGATGGGGTGGCAAGTACCCCAGAGTGAAAGCGCCCTTTGGCATAATATAAATAGATACAATCACAAGAAAGATACATGCATTTTTAAAGCAATCATAAAGGGATCAAGCGAGCCCATTTAGGGGTGTTTCGGGAGAAATTTTGATTGATTATAAATCTGCACGTAACATACGTAAAAATAATTTTGCATGTCATAGACAGTCATTTGGTGGTTAAGAATCTAAGTTTTCGACCTCCCACCCCTTGTGCTTACCCCGTACCACCCCCAAAACCCATGTAATTTGGTTAGTTTCTTAGTTTTTCAATCATATCTGTTTAATGGCTTACTTTACAAAAAAATGTTGTTATCAAAAATTATAGACTATAAGACTCTACACAACTTTTATATACACTACTTTTTTGTGAAATGTTTTTTAAAAAAGATATACTTAGAGCTTGAGAGTTGGTTATATTTTTAAGAATTCTGAAATTTTTATGTAAATGTTTTAACCAAATTTTATCTTTATCTCTATAATTAAGAGTTTTATGAGAAAATATCTTGAATTTATCGTGGTATAAATCCCCCTACCCTGCACCCTTACCATAGGGGATGCATAATAATGAAACTTGCAACCCTTGCTAGTGAGGACATTTGAATCACTGTGAGATTGTAGCGCTTTCTAATATACGTTTGAAATTAAAAAATTGTTTCATTTTAGTCTAACTTCACCCCCCCTCCCCCTCTGTACGAACAGATTTTAAACGTCAGAGACTACAACGTTTATTACATATTATATTTTCTAATCCTCTTTAAATATCTATTCCTACCGCGGTGTGTGTGTGGAGGGGGGGGGGGGAGGATGGAGCTGAACCAAACTGTCATCATTTTTTTGTTTCAAACGTATATTAGAATCGCTAACAATCTCACAGTGATTCAAATATCCCCACTAGCAAAGGTTGAAAGTTGAATTATTATGCATCCCCTTTGGTAAGGTTGCAGAAGAGGGAGATTTATACTACGATAAATTCAAGATATCTTTTCATAAAACTCTTAATTATAGAGATAAAGAATAAAATTTGGTTAAAACATCTACATACAAATTTTAGAATTCTTAAAAATATAAACAACTCTCAAGCTCTATATCTATATATTAATAAACATTTCACAAAAAAATAGTGTACATCGAAGTTGTGTAGAATTTTATAGTCTACAATTTCTGATAACAATATTTTGTTGTACAGTGAACCTATAAAAAGATATGATTGAAAAACTAAACAACCAACCAAATTTCTTTGGTTTTAAGGGTGGTACGGGGGAAGCACAAGGGGTGGGAGGTCGAAAACTTGGTTTTTTAACCACCAGATATTCTTCCATGATATGCAAAAAAAATTGGAACTACTTCTCGTTTTGCAGGAAATGGTCCATTTTCAGTCTCTATTTCCCAGACTACTACTGATCATTTTAGAGATGCTTAGGAAGGAATTGTTTAAATATTGTGATTAATAATAAACTGTTCCAAACCAATTGACCAACGAGCGAGAAACACAGACGGAAGAACAGAAATCACCAAAATGTAATCAGTTATTCCTTTGACCATTGTTTACCTATTACTGAACACAGCATGGGAAAATTCAAAACCATTCGCGAAATATCATGGACACAAACGGACGGACAGAAAGTCCCAATTGCTTGGTCGCTTGTTAATAAGAATACAGGATCGTCCATTACAAATAATCTTCAAACCTACTTGCCTTCCTTTGGAAATCGTAATGGGGAAGCGCGAATTAACGAGTAACCAGGCTCATTTATAATTTTGGGTTTTCTGCCCGTCCGTCTTTGTACATGATAACTCGCGAACGGTTTCGCATTTTTCAATTCTGTTTTCAGTGATAGTTAGACAATAATTAAGGGACTAACTGATGATATTTTGGTTATTGGACTTGTCGCTCGTTGTCTATATTGGTTTGAAACAGTTTAGAATTTCTGATCAATTATAAAACTATACAGGGTGGTGACTTGCGTAGCGCATCATAAGGATTTCAATGTAAAATTAATAACATGCGATTATTTACTCCCCAAATTATTTTAGAGCAAAAATGTATTAAGGTTTTTTGTAGAAATAAATTTTTTTCGTCAATCAGCCGTATTAGTTTTCAATTTTTTGCATAATAAAGACAGAAAATTGGAAAAATAAAACCCCCATCTTTTTCAATAATCTGTGATGCCATGGAATTTCATAATACAAAAACTACGCCAATATCCGTCATGCCATGGAATGTCTGCTATAAAACAAATCAAATTCTATCAAAAAGTATTATATTTAGAACAGCGAATTCAACATAAAGAAAGACCAAATTACAAAAAACGGTTTCCTAATATAACAATTTGCAGTAAATGTTCGAATAAATCACCATTAACTGCAAGATAGTAACCAAGTCGATCATAATAGTTATTTGTACAACTAGTTTTGAAATTGATACTTTTTTGCATGAATTTGCAGTTTGATAAATGAGCGCGAAGCCCGAGTTAATCAAGCAAATTCATGGAAAAAAGACACTTTCAACACGTGTTGTACACGAAATTTTTTGCATAGTGATCCATAATAACCGAGATAATAAGTAATAACCCACAATTGAATAATTTGATTGACATTCACGATTTACTGTCACTCAAAAGTGGATACTATTGTTCGTCTTCATAGACAGGGCTAAACTCCATGGAAACGCATAGTAAAAATCGTGAAAAAAGTACCACTTTCCATACGATTTTTCGTTTAAAAAAGTCCGATAATTTCATCACTATGTAAACAAATCCATTTCGAATTGCTGCTAATTGATAACTGGATCTCTTTTGTTTTAGAAAATTCCATGGCATTGCAGATTATTGAAAAAGATGCGGGTTTTATTTGTCCAATTTTCCGCCTTTATATGAAAAAAATGTAAAACTAATACGGTAGATTGGCGTAAACAATTTTTTTGTACAAAATACTTGAATACATTTTTGCTCTAAAATAATTTGGGTGGCCAATAATCGCATGTTATGAATTTTACATTGAGAGTGTAAGTTTGATAGAATTGGCGACATGGATGCAAAATTTTGGTGGGTTGCACGAATTGAATTCTCTAAACACTATTTTCTTATCATTCCGGTTCAATCGCAAGTGGCCATAAATTTCAAATTTTATATGAGATTCTACAGACAACCCTGTATTCCTGTATAAATTATTGAAAACAACCTATCAGGTGTAAGATTGGCTGTAGTGTTAAAAAGTTTGAAAGCGTACAGGGCCTATATACCATTTAAATTTCGAAATGTATGGTCCTGTTCCTGTCAATCCGAAAGTGATAGAAAGATACTATTTCGAGCATTCCATTTGTTTTTACTTAGGTATAATATCACCTACCAAAATTTCATATTCGGATCTCTAGTTTTGCCAAGGTGTATCTATTTTCATCAAATAATGTGTATTTCGATTCCTCTTATTTAAATTAATGCGATTCTTATTGGATATTTTTAAAGTTGGTTTGATGTAAAATTCTCCTGCTGTGTGGGCAACACACATTGCAATCTATGCGTCAGTGTGCGCAATTTTTTTGAATTTACCTTGTATATTGGCGCCGGCGCCAGTAGAGTGGCGTTATCTGTTGAGTGCGACAAGCAGCATCGTAAATGAATACATGTTGCGTCAATCAAAACAGTCGGTCAAAACACGTCCTTGTAGGTGTAGTAATTTTAAAAACACCTTAAAATTGTGGACATTTGCGTGATTCACGTGTGTACTGCCACTATTTCTCATTAACGATATTAACAAATCGTTCAGTTATGTGTAAAGTGCGGTTTACTCAGCGAGAATCTCTCTAATTATTCGGTATGTAAAACGTGCCAAAATCGTGCCTTATTTCAGTTTTCTCGCTTCCAAAATATCATTACCGTTCGCGAAAATGTGCTAATCCCATGGAAAATAATCTAACATTACTTTTCGATAAACATAACCTTATTTTGGGTGTCGCCTATGTTTACTTAATCTACAATTTTTCTTTTGAAAGCACTTCAATTACTTTAAATAGCGTGTTTTTAATGATTTTTAAGTGGTTTCAAAGGAAATAGCATTATTAAGTGTAATGAAAATATTATCAACATCTGTTACGTCATAACATGTTTGTTTTGCGACCGAATTTTTTTGCTCAACACCCACTTTCTACCCAATTCTTTGATATCGTCGTAATGAACTTGCTCCAATTACCTTCGAGGGTATCTCTTGTTAGTATTGAGCAAATGTGCGGTTATGCAACTGTCTGACATCATATGTAAATAAATAAAAACGTGGAAGACGTCATTGCGAAATCTGGTGGCAAAACAATTCAGGTTTTTCTTTTAATTGCAAGGTACCTACCATGAATGAAGTGGCGCCGAATGCGATAAACAGCGCCACCGGGGGCCCACCGGTCAATCCCCTAATCGGCGCCAATATTGTCAAGGAGGGATGGCTTTATAAGAGAGGCGAACGTATCAAGAATTGGAGACCGAGGTAAAGTATCCGAACTATGTTTCTTTCGGGAAAAGTGTGCGATTCTAGTCATTGCGTAGAAATGTTCAAGGTACGTCCTTTCCATTTTGATTAAGTGTTTACACCGACTGCTAGATAACTTATCTCACAAAAACAGCTTCTATCAGTTGTTAGACGAACGTAATGTGCAAAATATCCAAAATCATCCGCACTGGTTACGGTGCCTTCTGAAAGTACCAAAATCAATTATCAAAAATATATTCTTTCAACATTTCTGCTCAACAGCAACTAAAGAAAATCAGAATATTAACGAATAATCAATTTGCCAAAAGTAGTCATCTTAGTGTCACAAAGAAACAGAATCTCTAAGTACTTTATATGTTAAGAAATCGCACGTTGACGTTTATTAAGGACTTGACAGGTCCTTCTTGAAATTGTGCAGTTGGAAGGTCTAGGAACTAGCTCTCTCTCGAAGAAAAACTGTAATTAATTTGGGTTCAAATCGAAGATCTCCGAAGTCACTAAATATAATCAAAATAGGTATGTCCCTGAAGCGGTTCCGGAAAACATGGTTGGCTGAGTAGAGCAACCCTGCCTGAAACCCCTCCCACTTAAAAATAAAGACCACAAATAAATAAATTTAAGAAAAATAAAATTTAAAAAGAAAAATTGTTACAGGAATTTCTCCAATACTGTTTTCAGATTTAAATTTTGATCGCCCTTCTACAGGGTGTTTTCAAACTACTAATGGTCTATTTTAATAACTTCATACCCGATTTTTTCAAATAAAACATTTTTTTGCACTTTCAAATGTCGAAAATCATTTCATCAATCAACATTTTGGTTTAAAATAATGTTTTCCTCGATGTTTTCTTCTCTTAAGAACCAATTATTCAAACTAGATAAACTGTGCAGTAAGTCCTATCTGGCCAATCCTCGATGTTTACAGAGAATTTTAACTGTTGTAACTTTGGAGATATTAGAAAAATGCTCGGAAAAATGTGGAGAGGAATTAGAGTCTAGACTTCCCTGAGAATACTCAACAATTACTAGAAAAATTAATTTTATGTCACGTGATTCCATTTTGGTGCAGTTGTAAATATACAGAGTGTTGAATTTGAAAAATACTAACTTTGGGTTAAATCTCAGAAACGGTGGTCCAAAACTGTTTTTTGACTACGCCACTGGATTCTACGTAAAAATATCTAAAGCATGCTGTTTTTACCTTTTTTCTATCTTACTTGGGTAGCAAGATACCGGGTGATTCATTAGAAGTGAGGACAATTTGAATTTCCCGCAAATCAAAAAAATTATGAAGTTGGTACAAACTGATGATCATTTATTTAATTGCAGTGGTGTATCATCATACTTTCAGTAAATCGTTTACTTATTTATAATCTACAAATACTGCTTCTGTTTTACCACAAATTATAAACTAAACACTAGACACAGTCACGTTTCTTACATATTTTAGTGCATCAACTCTAAAAATTGTTCAAAATGGAAAAAGTAATAAACCGCAAATGGCACACAACAATTAACGGCGACACTGGTTTCTTAAATGACAGTCATGACAGATAAAAATTACTAACAAAATTCAAACCGTCAATCTAATAATGTCAAAAATACTAAAACCTTACGCGCGAAATTCAAGCGTTCATCACTTCTAATGAATCACCCGGTATTATGATAACATTCCAAAAAGTCAATTTTTTTTTCTACCTGTATCTCAGAGACAAAGATAGCTAGATTGATTCTATTTGTGGTATTAAAAGATTCACAAAAAAGTGGATCGAGGTCGCGAAAGCCGCTCTTATCTTTCAACGAAAATAGGCCACTGTACATTAGGCATAACGAATGTAGACCGTCAAAAACTTGTACTTTCTTAATTAAAATGTTTCTGGTTCTGTATTATGCATACAGTGTTTCAAAATGAGAGTTTTACAGATACTTTGTGCTGCTCGACAATGGCGCTTTAATTGGATTTAAAAATAAACCCGACGTCAACTCGATGGGCGATCCTCTTAACAACTTCACGGTCAAGGGATGTCAAATTATGTCAACGGACCGACCCAAACCATACACCTTCATCATTAGAGGCTTGCAATGGACCACAGTCATAGAACGCATGTTTCATGTGGACGGCGAAAAAGAAAGGTACCTACCCCACCTCCTAATCCCCACAATTAACAACCTGAACTGTTTACAGGGAAGATTGGCTAGCGGCAATTAAGATGGTTTCCGAAAACTTAGCGTCCGAATGCGAGGATGTGGACATGGCGTTCGAGAATCCGATGGTGGAGGATTTGTGCGAGAAGTTCTCCAGACAAGGCACGTCCAATTCAAAAACCAGCGGAAAGCGAAAGGTCACCTTGGAAAATTTCGAGTTTTTGAAAGTTTTGGGTAAGGGCACCTTCGGGAAAGTCATTCTATGTAGGGAAAAGTCGACGCGGCGGTTATTTGCAATAAAAATTTTGAAAAAAGAAGTGATTATTCAAAAAGACGAAGTTGCTCACACCCTAACCGAAAGCAGAGTGCTGCGATCTACAAATCATCCGTTTTTGACCGTATGTACTTATTTACCGACCGATTTTGTTTTAACGCGTGTTTTAGTCATTGAAATATTCGTTTCAAACCAATGACCGCCTTTGCTTCGTGATGGAGTATGTGAATGGGGGCGAGCTATTCTTCCACCTGTCCAGGGAGAGGGTCTTCTCGGAGGATCGCACTCGATTTTACGGCGCCGAAATTATCTCCGCACTCGCCTATCTGCATTCGCAAGGCATCATTTATAGGGACCTCAAATTGGAAAACTTGCTGTTAGATAAGGATGGTCACATAAAAATTGCCGATTTCGGACTTTGTAAGGAAGATATCACCTACGGACGTACGACGAAAACGTTTTGCGGAACGCCCGAGTACTTAGCGCCTGAAGTTTTGGAGGATAACGATTACGGGAGAGCGGTCGATTGGTGGGGAATTGGGGTCGTTATGTACGAAATGGTGAGTTGGTGGTGGTGAGTTTGAATCCATTCCGAATAGGGTGTTTTAGATGTGTGGTCGGTTGCCGTTTTATAATCGTGACCATGATGTGCTATTTACTTTAATTATTATGGAAGAAGTTAAGTTCCCACGCACTTTGAGCGCTGAGGCGAGGGATTTATTAGCAGGTTTGTTAATAAAGGACCCAACTCAACGACTAGGAGGAGGACCGGATGATGCCAAAGAAATTATGGTTCATCCATTCTTCACGCCTATTAATTGGAGAGATCTGGAACAAAAAAAGGTGGGTTGAATTGAACTAACGCTATTTGCGATTCGAATTAAGGATGAGACCTCTAGCGTCAATAAAAAGAACTTAAAAATGTGAACCAATTTCTGAAACGTTTAAATAGCTACTTCTAGTCTAAGATCCCACATAAGGTCAACCTTCTGTTTCCTGAGTGAAATGCATTTTTTAGCAATCTTGATATGTAAACAAACACATTGCAAATGGGTTGCACCCGGGCGGCTCGAATTCTTTTCTTTGGTACAAAAAATTTCTTTCTTGTGAAATTGTACTAATTTGGAAGTGAAATGAGGGTTATCCTGCTGTTTGGAATTAGCTCGAACACGCAATTAGCGGTATTTTCTAATTACAAATAAAGATAACAATTTATCATTCAATTTCTAATGTACTCGTACAACTTTTACAACAACTCCCAACAAAACCCTTAGCTTTAATACTTTCCCTTCGAAATTAGTAAAAATAACAATTTTTCCCAGATTCCACCCCCTTTCAAACCTCAAGTTACGAGCGATATAGACACGCGATACTTCGACTCTGAGTTCACGGGCGAAAGCGTCGAACTGACGCCGCCCGAACAGTCCGGCCCGTTGGGAGCGATTCAAGAGGAGCCCTACTTTCCCCAGTTTAGCTTTCAAGATTTGTCTTCCACCCTCGGCAGCTCTGCGCATATTAGTAGTAGCATCAGTAGTGTAGCTCCTATGCAGTGACCTATAGTCGATTAGACGACGGTAAGTCGATCGGTAAATCCATGACCACCGCGCGTTCTTGTAGAAATCGTACTTACGTGTGAGGGGAAGAGGTGTTACTTTAAAAATGAACGACTGTTGTTGCATACATTTGTGATATTTTTCACGTACCGCATAGGAATTACCTAATTTTAATTTTAAGATTCGCCCACTGGTAGATGACTGTCTTTGTATATACAAATCTGTATATAACTTTCTATATTAAATAGATATAGTCGCTTCCATTAAAATTATGTACGGAGACTCCGATTATTTGGGAAATTTTAAGGAAGTGGGATTGTTGGTATCAAAATAATTAATATTTTGTAAAAACTTTTTGGATTTTGTAACTAATTATCTAGGTAAGTGTGTACATAGGCTCTATGTAAACTAAATTAGCTGTAATTATGGGGGTACTAGTGTACTACTACTTTGATTTAATTAAGTTTTATGCTGCCAAAATGTTCGTTTACTAACAAAACTTAGACCTCGCTATAGATTAATTGCCTTTAAAAGGTAGGAGTGTCTTAAAAGATTAGTTATGCCTAGCAAAGTTATATACCTAGTAATAATTTATATAGACAAAGTACCCCGTTAAATAATTTGTTGTGAAACTACTTAAATTAGAGAATGTTGTAGATGCTAACGTTACAAGTGCAACTTGCTAAGTATACTGCAAAAGTGTTTTTGTTTTTCTTTGCTTCACAGATTTATATAATTAGTGCAAGTATTTATTAATATTTACCTATTGATACTTTTGTACTCGGTATGCCTAATAAAGGAATTTCTAAAGAAATGTATACGATAGGACGGTAGAAAATATTTATTGTGCATTGGGTTGATTGTAGATTTTATATAAGGAAAAATTTGAAGGTTCCCAACTTTGTTATCTGTTTCTTTTTTACATTATATAAATAATATATGTTTGGTGCTTGTTAGTACGAAAAAATATATTTACTTGCACATTATGACATTTTGTAAAATGTGTTTTATTTCTTTCAGCTGTAGATGTGGGCCAATTTGGATTAGTATTTTTCCTACGTTTATGTGCTTTGTACTATTCTACTCTAACTTGCGTACATTTTCAACTACTAAATCATTCCATCTTATGGATTATACTTTTATATATGAAAAGAGTGTGTATGTGACATTTTGCTGTAATGAAACAAAATAAAAATTTTATATTACCCTTTCTGCAGAGAGCAGTTAATCTGTACTCTTTGTTTGATTAACAAACTGGTTGAACTCTTCGATATTACTATAATAGTCCTTCATATGTACCTTACTTTGCAACAGCAAAATTCAAAGTACTTACCACCAAAATTGTAACTAGCACTAATAAAGGCCAAGACAATGGGCTCTTAAGGGATGTGTAATTTTATTGTAATGACAATTCGACTCCTGTATAAAAAATCGCATAAGCGGCAAAAGTTAGCTGTAACTTTTCCAGCGACAAATGTTTTCACTTATTTTCGAACCAATTATCGCATTATTCTTTCCCATATGACTAGTTTGACGTCTGTCAATAATTAATTAGTTTGGTGAATTTCTTGTGCGTTAAATTGTCGTGCTGAATTACACTCGAGGTTCATATTTAAACCGAGGAAATTTGTGTTGTTGCAATTCAGACCTGTTGCCTTTTAGCAATTCAAAAATCTATCAACTAATAAAAATGCAGCACCAAAGTCTAATTGCTAGGCAACAGATTTTCATTACCTGAACAACCCAAATTTAGTCTGTAAAATACAAACCTCTTGTGCAATTATAAGTGAAAAATTGCTCTTACACCACGTATACCCTACACAAGATACGAAGTCAAAATATGCTTTCATAGCCATGTGCACCCGAATTTTAAACAAATTATGCAATATATCATTACCATTAGAAAATTACAATCCTAGCACTAAATGAACGGCAGGACAATGGGCTTTTTTCTTAAAGATTGTGTAATTTTAATGTAATGAAAAGCTATTCTTTTAAATAGGGTTGCTTTTGAATCACATCCTACTGGAGATAAAAATTGGATGTAGGTACCTATCAAAATACTAGAAACCCTTCTGTAGGTCATTTTCAAACAAATTATACATCTAGCACTACATGAAGGTCTGGACGACTGATTTCCTCCTAAAAACTGTGTACTTTTGATGTAATGAAAAGTTACTCTTTTAAGCGCAATTGCACAGATATAATTGAACCACTTAAAACATATCAACAGAAGATGCACATCAAAAAATTATTACCTACACCCCGGCTTTTGTAGGGTACATAAACCCGAATTTTAAACAAATGTACGAGGCTAGTCTCTAACTTTGAATAAATTCCGTAAATCGGAAGGTTTTTTCAGAAATATGCTCAGACCCGTCGATTGCTATTTTAAACTGCGCTCTTGAATGTGATAACATTTTATTTTATACGACTTTAAAATCTGTTACGAAATATAGGATTTTCTTGATCAGAGAATTCGTAGCTCCTAGTCCATCTCTTCTGTTACTCCATTTTCGCATCCATAACATCGCTTTACTTCCATCTCACACTAATTTTTTCTTCCCCCACTTCCAAAATAGCCCTTGCAATCAGTTTTATCATCTTATTTGCTTTATTGCGTGCCTGTTCATCTTGGTACACCACTCATTCATTGTAACCGTCTAATGTGAACCCTTTTGGGCTAGTACTACCCAATTTAGTTACTAAATTACTCGCCACTCGACTAAATTACTGTCCTAATTCGAATCAAGCTTTAGTGATACTTATTGCTTTATAATTAACAGGTTTGGTTGCGTCTTTTCCTGGTTTTGGGATCGGAATAATTATTGCTTACCTCCAGTTATCTGGGTAATTTTGTTATAAATGGTTAACAAGTTTTTCGTAGGTAGAGGTTTTAACATACCGTCAACCGGGGTTATATCTGACGATATTGTAATTGTTTTGTTATACGAAATTAAAGCTATTTAAGACATCTATAGTCTATAGCAAGAAGTTAACCTAGTAAATATATTTAAATAAATAAATCTTCTAAAATTTATAACGGTTTTTCTTTTTTTTTTTAAAAAGCCCCAGATTTGGGTAATTTCGGACGATTTATTTTTTACATTGAAAAAATACGTTTCGAATCAGGGCTGGGCAGTATTCGATTTTGTAAATACTTTTTAGTATTCAATCCTTTAAAGTATTCAAATACTTTGTAATTAAATACTTTTATGGAAGCAGTATTTGTTTTTGTAACTCAAATACTTTCACAAATATTTAGTATTCGAATACTTCGCAAAGTATTTGGATACTTTGAGAAGTATTCGAATACTTCACATAGTATTTGAATCTTCCTTTTTTTTTACCAAAATTCGACTACACCAAAATTTCTCGGGAAAACACTTTTTCTTATTAATTTTGGTGCGTAGAATCGAAAACAATTCGTACGTTTTCGATTAGACCTCTCAATAAAAAGTTATGGACAAAAAACAAATTTCGAAAAAAAATTCAAAGGGCTGTAACTTTTGATCTAGTAGCCCAATCTTCAAACTGTTTGAAATTATGGACTCTCGATCGATCTCGATCTCAGACAATTTTTGTTTCCCGCCTCAAAAAAAGGCAGTACTTTTAAGTTATTCAAATATTTGAGAACAATTTAGAAATGTTTAGGGAAAGTTTCCATTGTCACAAAATCAAATATAAAAATCTGAATACCGAACTCGATAGTCTACGTAACTTAAAAACAATAGGGACCTTTCTTATATCCTTAAGACCATGTGTACCAATTTTCAAAGCGATCGCACGTTTCTAAACAAGTTATCGTGCACACGGACAAACGGATGGCCAAAAATGGATCTGCTCCAAAATCGCTAGGATTAATTTCAGAAAGGCGTACGTATCATGTGCACGACGTACGATCGCTTTGAAAACTGGTACACGTATTCTTAAGGATATGACTGGTATAAGAAAGGTCCTGGTAGATACCTCCTATATAATAATAATACGCTTTACTCTCCTTAAATTTGTATATAACATGGAAATATAAAAAAAGCTAACCCCATACAAAGTATAACTTGATTTTTTTAGTAGTATTAAGCCTTTTATCTAGTATACTATTTTAAATTTTTAATGTATTTGAGTGACAAGTATTCGAATACTTTTCAAAGTAAGATAATGAAATACTTTTCAAAAGTATTTGAATACTTATTTTTTAAGTATTTGAATACTTTTCAATGTATCTGTATCTAGTATTCGCTTGTGCTGGACGTAAAAGTATTTAGTATTCAAATACCTTTGATTTGTATAAAGTATTTACTATTTAGTATTCAAATACTTTTTGAAAGTATTCTGCCCAGGTCTGTTTCGAATCTACTATACTTATTTGGGATAGGTTTGCTCTAAAACCTTTATCGAAAATTTTTAAACGTCCATGCCATATGAAGGTGTTAAAATAAAAGCGATATTGTAGAAATAAACGCCTTTATTAATGGAATGGATCCCCAAAAAATTAAACACAGAAATAAACGTCAAACAGATAAAAAACGAAAAGTAACATTCTGTAAAATATAAGTAGGTAGATAGGTATACCTATATGTAGTAGGTACCATTGAATAATTCACTCAACGGTGGTACCTATTTATTCTCTTATAAGTAACTCTGTAACTGTAGACCTTCAAACACATGTACATACGCCACAAGCCACGATGGATTTTAGGTGCACGTGTTGAAGTTTGATTTTGCTCTTGTCTTCAATTACGTTTGGAAAAATAATAAGGAATCTTTTTGACCTTTGTAAAATCTAAGGCAAATCACAGCAATGTATTTTTTTGCAATCTTTTCAATTAGCGCAACGAATTTTTTTCCTGTTTTGTCCACAGTTTGGTAGGTCACTGGTCCTAACAGTCACACGATCTTCTCCTGCTGTCATTTCGAATCTTCTCCTCCCCCAAATTTTCGGGCCATCACAGACGCTAACTATTCAAACATTCTTGCAGTTTTCATAGTCTTTTCCTAGTTTTATCGAACTTTCAGACGGTGATGTTGTAGGTGGTGCTCCTCTTGTGGTTGTTGCCGTAATATATGTTGAGTTATCCAAAATCGATCCATTTTGACTTCCCAATCTCCCGTGCTCCGTTTTTTTTTAACTTCTCTTGCTTTCTTGTACCATTCTTTGCACTTGGCCATTTGAGGCTGGATGGTAGGTACGACTAAATAACTCGAGTATGTAGGATTCCATTCTTCCTAGTCCACAATTGGAATTCTTCTGACGCAAACGAACTTCCATTGTCATTTACAATGACCTCCGTAATTCTATGAGTTGCGAAAATAAGCTAGCACCCAAATCTACTTCAAATTCACATTCCCTGTTATTAACAGATAACAAAACCCGATATGGCGCTTCACCTTGCTCGATATTGTGGAGCCCTAGAATACATTTGTCGTCATCAGACACATCGCTGTTCATCACTTTTACATTCGATTTTACTAAATATTGTACGCTCTTATTTGGATTCTTGATTTTACCTACCCTTTTTTTGTTTGTTTGATTGCCTTTAGCACGTTTCTTCTTCGCTACGTAAGCACGCTCTAAATGCCTATGCTTTGAACAGAATCTGCACTCAGCATCCCAACGACACGTTGTCTGTGCACATCCAACCCTTCCGGGTATTTGACTCCTTGGAACGTTCCATTTTGTTGACAGTAGCACTGTCTGGAGTTCTTCAAAGCTCCACTATGCTGGCATGCGGCATTTTCGGCCGCTATCACTGTGTCAAATGCCATCTTGCTCCCGCCAACAAGGGTCGTTGATTCATCTCTCGCGCCACACACGATACGGTCCCGAAATTGGGGTTCAAGATCATTTCCATAATTGCATAAACCACCAATTTTACCAAGTTCTGTAACCCCCTTTTGTGTCTGTGTCGTCAACAAATCAATAATGCGATCAAAATTAGTGTCAGCTAATTAATTTGGTATGCACAAGCTTCGCGCATCTGAAAAG